CCTTCAAAAACTGTTGGAGCAGCGCATTCGATAAAATGCGTTCAAGTCCAGATTATGTCCACGAAATCTAATGTCACTTTAACATTCCATCAGTCATTTACGCTTCCCTTTTTGACGTGTAGCGATGCGCCAGTAACAAAGCATTTCACACTGAGAAGCTCGGTTTGACAGGGGTGATTTACTCACTCCTGTCAAACTTTGAATACCCGCTGTCATCCATGTAAAGTCAACTGTGCTTGAAAAAAAATACCACCCACAAATTACTGAAAGGGTTACTAGCCCTAGCTCAAATTCAAAATAAGAAATCAGCGAATAAATAAATAGAGAGTTTACGAAGCTCTGAGTGTCTGAAGGGCAGTTCATATCGGACTTGGACGCCTGATACGCCTAGTTCAATTGAGCGGTTGATTAAATATGAGAAATTGGTTATACCAACAGTGGAAATTTATCCTCTGATTTCACATTGCCTTTGTGAACATTTAAAATAAAGTTATTTTTCATGATTCAGTTTAATTTTCGTTCAATGGATACTTTCATTTAGACCTCCCTAATAACCACGACTTCTGGTATATTAAAAGTTCATCATTCCATTATGTCAAAATACCAGCCCAGTCGTACTTTAAAGACCGAAAACTTTTGATTGACGCATTTTAAGTAGGGAACAATGACAGCTGTGTTTGAGGCCTCAGCTTGACAGACTTTTAACGATCAATTATTAAAAAAGGGAGAGCTCCATGGGCGTCCTCTGTGGCCTTATTAATTAAGCATGAAGAGTTTGTGGAATAAGCAACGCTATTAGAGCCCATCAAAGTAACTCCAAACGCGATGGAATATTCTGGAAATTGAGATGCACCATTGATCGCGTAGCGAGTAAGTTAGGCTTGCGCGAAGGCCTTTTCAGCCAATTAGCGTTAAGATTCATTCAAAGTTGCGTCAATCCCGTTTTCAGATGGCGATAATTTGTAATGAATGCTATTCACTCCATACTTTCTATTACCTTCGATACTATTAGTTTAGATAAGCTAATTTTGGGACAAATTTTTACTAGATGATTTAACCGAAGAGGATTATTAGGGCTTAGTCAATGTATCAGTGGTCAAAAAACCGGAAGTAAAAGTGGGCTGCGTTTTTATTCAATACGATTCTATTAGCAAACGAAAGAGTAGAAAGCTTTCACAAAAATCCGCAAAACTATACATTTTGGTTTAATATATTTGATAGAAGAGTTAAAAACAGTTAATTTCGAAGTTTCTTTATGTTAATTGCAAATATTTGCTTATTTATTTCAAATGGCAGGCTTTATTATAGTTATCATTAGCCCTTTAGTTGACTTCGGACTTCACAGAGGGGAGGAACATCAAAGTGAGATAAATTCAAGAGGAGGAACAGAAAAGTGATTCAAGGATGCAAAAGAGATAGACAGGCACAATGGCAGAGAAAAGGTAAGGTGAGTATTTTGAAAGGGGTCGAATATAACGAGCAGTCGGGCCATGGTAGTTTGAAGTCAGAAGTCAACTGCCGAGTAACTGACTTTTCGCCGTGTGAGTATGTTGCCCAGGGTGCACCACGTGGAGGTAAGTCTCTCGCACACCCCTAATTGCAAATATGCGGTTAGAACAAAAATCATGGTGATTTATTTAAGGACAAAAAAATGTTAACTTCGTCGTGTTCGGTGACCAGTTTTTTGAGAAATCAGTCTCGATTTTAGTGTCATTCGGGAAATAGTGATAGATACTATCAGCAAAGTAATTTACTCGTGCCAAAATGATAACTTTACAAATGTAACCATGAGATTGCATCTAAACTTGTGATATTAGAAAATAATTCACTAAGAGATGAAGCAGAGGTTACAAAATGGTGTCGCGATACTAAGAACCTCATTTAATTTGAATTATGCGAACAAATGCCTACCAAGTTGAATAAAGTGTTTGATTTTAACTTTCAATGGTTAATATTCGCTCTCTGGAGTAATGGGTGAGTGCATGTACTCGGAACCCAATAAATTTTTGATTTATTGGTTAATAGATCAACCAGTCTCGTTTATTAACATATTACTAAAGCCATAGAAAAGCGAATGAAACAAACCGAAGCGTGTTTTGCTATAAGATACCTTTCTAACTCTCTAATAAATTGAACTTGGCAGGAAAGAAAAAAATTAACATGATTGGTACACGACTTTGATTAAATTAAGGTGTAAATTCCCTTCGAAACATAGTTTTAGAGGTTTTTGGGACATGAACTCGTGGTTCCTTGTCCTGACGTATTCGCGATGACCTGAAATTCGTATGACCTGTGCTTAGTCATTCCTAATGATTTGCAGGATTTGATGTTACATAAACCTAGTTAGCAATAAAACCGACGCCTTTTGAATCCTCCGCTTCTTGAGGCATTCGGTGATTAAGATAATGAAGTGTTCTGCGGGGTGGTAATTTCAACATGTCAGTTTTTCTCAATATTTAAAATTTTGTCGGTCAATCTAACTGTTTTACTCGAATTTTAATATAATGAATCACAGTTGTTGAATGAAGCACCAATCTTGCCATTACTCTAATTATGTTACCTCAGTCTAAACTACAATTTTGTAATAGATAGGAAGATCCAAGCGTTTAAAGTATACGGAAGTCTGAGTGGTAGCAAAACTGCCTACCTATGAAAAGACAGATTCGAAGACATTACCGTTATTAATAACCCATATTCGAAAATACACAAATAGTTCAAATGATAAGATCAATAATTATTTGTCATCAAATCGGCTTTACTGAAATCTTCCATTGGGATTCATCTCAATAAAATAATAATACTCTTCGTAATGGACACCATGAATGCAATTAACAATAGATAATGTTATTAGTAGCGACGTATTATCATTTATCAAACTTAAATGGAAAGGGGAATAGCTTTTTGTTATGTACGTTCTGTGAAATCGCTTCGAAAATTTTTATTTTATCTACCGAAAGAGCACTTTACATTCCAGACAATTTAAAGTATACAATTTTTGCCCCTCACTGAAAAAAAACATATTTAACAGTCTTTAAGAAGAAAAAACATTAAGCATTTAGCTTCAAAGAAACTGGAGTACTTTTAAACAAAGGAAGCGTTTTAAATTGTATATTTTGCGAATTAGAAAACTATTGAATCGATTGGATGTGATATTTTGGATGTTACCACGGATGAGCTACTCCGTTTTATAGACAAACGAATTAGTCTTAAGCGCAACCGCCTCTAAATGAGATGTCAGTAAACTCCAGTCGTCGATACTTCATTGTGGAGCTTAGCAATCGTGGTGAGATGGTCTTGACGATATCGAAATGTTCATTATCGCAAATGCCTATTCACTCCAAATCAAATATTATAATTACCATATACTCCTTATGGTGTGATCTCTCCCTCATTTACCAATAAAGAATCTCAGGCAACTTGCTCAGTAAATAAATTGAACGCAATTAAAAATTGAGATAAACGTTTTATATGAAGAACCCGAAAAATTAAGTACTCGGATTTGTTCAGCCGAGCGACAATAATAACAGCATGCTTTTAACTACTTTGTTAATAACTGCTTATCACGTTGTTTTCATATTTCGAATATTTGGACATTTTAGATCACTTTGAATTAGCCCTAGCGAATGAGGCGAAATTCACCACGAAGACAGAGTTAATTCATTCGATCGACATGTAAAGAAAGTACTGATTGAAAAACTAGGAAAATTTGAAATTCAATATAACAATGCAATAAATTACTTTATTAACTTAGAAATCTGGTATTAATTTCAGGAAATATATTAACCCTTTAATGCCCCTAGGACCTTATGGTTCTCTTGCGAATTAAGGTCCATTGGCACTAGGATCGTAACAGAAGGCTCCATTGACGTTTGAAGCATGTTCAATACGTCTTTAGCCTTCGACAGATACCGCCAAAAATCACCACGTAATTATCAGTCTGCTGTGAGATACACGTGATTGCGGCTGGGTAAAACTTTCCGAGTATAAAACGGGAGTTGAAGGGCTAAGACATTAATTTGATTCAAAATCAGTTCAGAATCGAAAATTTTCCACCCTTTTAAAATTCTTTAACATATTATTTTTTACTTACCTTTGATAAATCTGTAGCAATATCATCTTCAGTTATAATTATATTAATTTTAATTGTATGAAATTATCCCCTCATTGTGAAAGGAATACAGAACGAGATGCATAAGTCAATTTAGCCATTAAGTACATGATTTCCTATTGAAGGGATTTTCAACATTTTGACTTCGCTGCACAGATGGAGGTAAACCTGAAAAAACGGATTGATTGTTAATTAAACGTGCTCCCCAGAATGGCTTACAATTCAGTATTAACGGAAAAAGATATCGTAATATCTAAATTTTTCAACCGGAAATCATGTTGCTCCACATCCACCGATTAGCTAAGTTTCATCAATATTTCAGTTCAGATTATAAGTTTGGAAAATCTAATAAAAATACGGAAATCTAGAATTATGCTGATGAATATTATCCCTTCATGTATTGACGATGTTCGTTAACAGCAATTTGATTAATGAAATTTTTTATTACTGCGAAGCAGAAAAATAACTATAATTGGTGCAAAATCATAAGGAAACTTAATTCTAAAACTCTTAATCATTTAAATGTATATACGAACTGAGTAAATGGCTCGATTCTATCAAAAGGAATGTATACTTGAGCAAAATATACTAAAGTTTTTTGTATCATTTTTTTATAATTTCAGCATTACTAACTTATGAGTAATGCAAAAGATAACCACACAATCGAGTAAAGTTATAACCTAAGATATTCAAGACAAACAAATTAAAATCATTTATCATTTTCGCTCATAAAATAACACTATAGTCATCAAAGCATAGATAAGAAAATATTTAGAATTAAAAGACGATGGAAAAATAAATAAAATATATGCTATATGTTCGTTTTTATTAGTTTATATCAGTTGTATAAATTTCGCGCATTTTAGTTAGTTATTTGCGAATCTTCCACAAGATGTTCTCTCCGAAATTTGATGAAAACAAATTGAAGACGAATTTACGTATTTGTGTTGTCAGAATGAAAAATCTTTATTCAAAGAAAAATGAGCTTAATGTCCGAGCTCGTCGGGAGTTAGCCGAGTATCTCAGGAATAAAAAGATCGATCGTGCCCGTATTCGTGTAGAGCAAATTGTTCGAGAGGATTATTTACTTGAAGTTTTGGAAATGATCGAAATATATTGTGAATTACTTATCACGCGTATGAATCTTATTACATCCACTGTGTAAGTTAGCTCTTTACGATGTTATAATGTTCTCCATATAGGGAATGCGATCCTGGTCTTAGGGAAGCGATTGCCACTATTATTTGGTGTGCTCCGCGTCTGTCTTATGATTGTCAGGAACTGCTTGTTATTAAGAATCAGTTTATGATCAAATACGGAAAGGAGTTTTGCCAAGCCTGCTTGTCAAACTCTAATCACGATGTCAACCCCAAGGTTATGCAAAAGCTCAATGTTAAGGCACCTCCAGCTAATTTATGCGAAGCCTACTTGGTTGAAATCGCGAAAAGCTATGATGTTGAATTCACACCTGATGAAAATCTCCTTCATAACCAACCCCAGTTGATAGACCTTGGCGAGCCACCAGAATTACCCAATTACAATTTCCTAAACAACGATTTTCTCAATCCTACTCCTATTGATAAGGGCGTCCCCTACCCACCTCCAATTGATCATAAAGATGATTGCAATGCAAGAATCCCCCCTCTTCCTTCTCAAGCTGACTCCAATTATAATGGTAGCCTGATTTGACCTGTTTAACATCCTTATTTTTTATTTGAAAGGATCCTGAAATTTCTTGATGTTCTATTTAGCAGATTCATTCAATCCTGGCGCTCCTCCGCCTTATCCCAAAATGGATTCTCCTTCATCCAAAAAGGCTGGTGGGAGCAGTAGTCCAAGCAGTGTTGAGGAAGGTGGAAGTAACTACAAGAATGATGAACTCCCAACCGCGCCTCCTACTACCAGTGATGTTGATTTCGATGCCCTTGCGGCTCGATTTAACAACCTACGTCGCCACAACGAATAAAGACCGTGTACTCTATTCTTGAGCATCCCTCCTTCCCTCCCCCCCCCCACCACGATTGATTGTTATTCTTCTCTGTGTTCATCCTTCTTCTTTCATCTTACTTTGCATACAATTTAAATCTGGTGTTTTAAAATTTTTTCGGCACTCTGGTTATGGCTTATGGATGATCCATTCTAATTTGGTTAGTAACATTGACCTTCGTTTTTTGTTAAATGCGTAAATTATTTTATACTTTTGGATTGTCATATGGAGGGTTAGATTTATTTTACCTATCCCTTTAGGCCTCAGCTACCCACTCATTATGGGTCATGAAAATGATTAGTAGATTTGATAATTGGAGGAAAGCAAAGAGTCCAACCACTCTGCACTTGGATTTTGGGGTTAGGAATTATTATCATTAATTACCGAGCCCAGATCCTGAGTGCTCACCAACATTGTTGTGTCAGCCGCAGATTGAGTAGGCAATTTTGTCAAACCCCCACCCTAGCTTTGCATCTTTTTTGACTTAAATGTGATGCTTCAAGTATTTAGTTGGATCGACAACTGTTCGTTATCACAAATGGTCTATTTTTACTTCCCTATTTTTTTGCTTTCTTATCTAGTAGGGTTCACTGAGGATTGATTGATTCATTTCATTCGATTGCGGTAGTAAAATGTTCGTGACTCGTAGATTGTCATGAGACTGAAACATCAAAAGCGGGTGATTGTGATCCGTGGGTGTATGTTTTGAGCCATATTTTTAACTAACAGTAATCACTTTGCTCCCACACGAAGGAGCTAATGTGAAATCAATCTTTAGAAGATGTACTCTAATTGTATGTTAAAATTTCTTTCACGCTGTGGCAATATCAAATTTGGTCATAATTTATTTATTTCAAATGGCGGGTTTTATAATACTCATCATTAGCCCTTTAGCTGACTTCGGGCTTCATAAAGGATAAGAACATCAAAGTAAGAAAAAGTGGAGAGCTGAACAGAAGTGTGATTCACAGACGTAAACGAAACACACAGACAGACACAAAGGCAGAGAAAAAGTATGATTAGTACTGTGGAAGGGGTTGGAATATGACATACAGTCGGGTCATGGTAGGTTGAAGTCAGAAGTCAACTGCCAGTGTATAGACTTTTTTGCAGTATGAGTATACGTTGCCCAGGGTGCACCACGTGGAGGTAAGTCTATCGCACACCCCAATTTAGTCATAATTAATTGATAACTTATCCGATGGGAAATAAGTAGAGCTATGTTATTACTGTCATGGCATGAATTCCTACGTCTAGCCTAGTTTGCTAATTAAATAAAATTTTGCGTTACTCTTTAGTCGAAATTACAATCTCATCTGCGCTTTGTAAAGGGGCATCGATATCTCTGAATTATTTAATTTTTCCCCGAAATGTTCGATAATTTGAATATTTATTATTATTTATATCAAATGGCAGGCATTTTGATGGTTATCATTAGCCCTTTAGTTGACTTCGGGCTTCACAGAGGGGGGGGGGTGGAAAAGAAGAGTGCTTCAAAGACGAAGGTAGAAAGGTAGAAAAGAGGTGAGGTGAGTACTGTGAAAGTAGTCGAATATGACATACATTGGGATCATGGCAGTTTGAAGTCAGAAGTCAACTGCTGGTTAATAGACTTTTTCGCCGTATGAGTATAGGTTACCCAGGGTGCACCACGTGGAGGTAAGTCTATCGAACACGTCATAATTAAAATATAATGACTAGTAATGAGTCCTCTCATAGGAGTCCTTAAATACCACTTTTAATACTACAATGGTTAGTCTAGAGTTATTTCTTCCGATAATGAATTGGCCTATAAGGAATCCTGAAGTTCCAGAGCTTATATATATGTGATTCAGCTCATGAAAATTTCGTTAAGTGCATCCAGTTAATGCGCCTGAGTGGTTTTGGAATATTTGTTATTACCTTTCAGTGTAGTTAATTACGCTATTGAACAATTACCTTTATCAGGTGAAGTTCAACTTTCACGCTTTACGTGAGGTTATTCTTATATTGAGGCCAGAATAGATATTTGTTTCGAATTAACTTCTGAAAACACACCCCCCACACTCTTTCAATCACTAAACACCTGCTTCAGGCCAGCCCTTTGAAATGCTAAATTCCAGTAGTTGATATATCAATCACTGTATTGCGACTGTATAGCTTTTTAGTGTAGATTAGCCTGGTAGCTTCGCGCCCGTAATCCGTTAATCCTTTTCAGCCAACTCCTTACCACTCATTTATACAAGCACAGCACCAAACCTATTGCTGCGCTTTGAACATCCATCTGCCTCAAATATGAATTATTTATACCAAATGGGAGGCTTTGTGATATTTATCATCAGCTCTTAAGTTAACTTAGGGCTTCGCAGAGGGGGTGGGGTGGTGCATCAACGTTGCGAAAAGACGAGGAGGGGAACAGAAGAGTGAATCACAGAAAAAAAGCAGAGAAAAGGTGAGGTGAGTACTTGGGAAGTTGTCGAATAAGATATATAGTCAGATCATGGTAGTTTGAAATCAGAAGTCAACTGCCGGTTTATTGACTTTTTTGTGCGTATGAGTATACGTTGCCCAGGGTGCACCACGTGGGGATAAGTCTATCGCTCATCTCACCTCGAATAAGATTATTTATTTCAAATGGCAGACTTCATGATATTTATCATT